GCCTTTTGTGTTTTTCAGCCTCCCTTCCAGATTCCTCCGGTGGGCGGTGCTCCAGCTGGGCCTTCTATTCCTGCTCGAGGAGGGCGTGGAGACACTGCACGTCCCCGTACCAGGGGAGGGCGTACTCATGTCGGGAGTAGTTCTCGGGCGCCGACCCCTGATGATGATGATGATGATGACGATGATGAGTCCGAGGAAGAGGCAGAGACCGAGTCATCTGAGGAGGCTGGAGATGACTCAGACTCAGGCTCAGATAGCGATGCTGATGACGATGCCCCTGGACCTTCGTCCAGGAAGAGGGCGATGGCAGATCCCCGGGCTCGAGACTACTGATGATGACCCAGATTGCTGCTTTTCTTCTTCTTTTTTGTTTTTTTTTTTTTTTTTTTTTTTTTTTTTTTTTTTTTTTTTTTTTTTTTTTGGTTTTTTGATTAAGAAAACATGTCCATTACCACTTCAAAGGCTAAGCCCTTTTGGAAATGGTGTTGGACCAAGTCTCATAATCCATGATTCTTTCATATCAACCTCTTACCTGTAAATTCACTAGCCCCCATAAAAAAAACTCTTCACGATGAGAGTAAGGAGTTCCAATGCCTAAGACTTGACTTTGAGAATGGAGAATCATTTCAAGAGAAATGAGTAATAATTAAGTCCACACAAGTCCACTAGATTGTCCACGATTCTAAACGTCAGTAGTCACCATAGTGCTCGAGTAGAGATCGGACTAAACCAACAACAGTTCAGTTGGTTAACTTTGTGCACTTTTATTTGAAAGGTCAGGAATCTATTGTCAAAGGCAAAAATTGATAATTTCTCCTTATTATGAAATTTTTTATTGAGTTTGTTGTTGAGCTTTGTTATGTAGTTTATTTCTTTCCGTTATGGGGCTTATTATTTATTAGGTTGGTGCTTCGGATTGCTGAACTATTATTGTCCACATGTAATTTTCTTTATTTTATAAATACTAACCCTCAACTACGAAAACTTGTGCAAATATCCTCCTGGAGGTTGAATGTGAATTGAAGGGTTGTAACGACCCCAATCCGTAAATAACTACTAATTTGTAATTAAGAATGCTAACTAAGTGTTTAGAATGGAATTATGTGTTATTATTAATTGTGATATGTGCTTTGTAGTAATTTGTGCATATCTGTCTGATTTGAAAATTATTTGTCATGATTTCTGCTTTGAATTTGAATTTGAATTTGAAATTGTGAGCTTAAATGCTTTCAGAAACCGAATTTGAGTTCATGGATTGACTAACTAGAATATTTGGAACCATATGAGAAGTTTTGTTAAAAATTAATTTAGTTTAGAAAAATCACATGTGATTAAATTGAACCTTAATTGGAACTATTTTTGATTAATTGAACCATGTGCTAACCTTGATTAATTAAGGTTACTTGTGTTTGATTAAAATGATGCATGATTGGTACCTAATCTAATTCTATCCATGATCCAAGATGTGATTAAGTGTATGATGTGCTGAGGCATGTGATGGTGTTGAAAGTAGGGGATTAAAACCCTAGTGTGTGTGTGTGTGTTGGAGTTTTGCATATGTGTGCACGTGTATTGTGCTCAAGAAGTGAGGTGTGTGTTGTGTATATTCAGTTGAGTGAGGGATTGTTTGTATCATTCCTTTTGCTTATTTGGTTCTTTGTGTTGAGAGAGTTCAAGCTAGAGAGAGAGAGAGAGAGCTCAAAAGTTTGAAGAAGAAGAAGAAAACTAGGAAGATTCATCTCACATTTTTTAAATTAAAGCTTTGGGTAAGAATTCTATGACTAATTCATCTTGTAAATCCTCCATGCATTATAAGTTCATTAGTTTATTGAGCTAATTTCATGATATTTGTAAGGAAATGGGTCTTTGAACATGTAGATGGCTTGCATGTACATTCATGGTAAGTCATCTTTGATTTTATCATTTTGAGTTTGAGTTTTAAAGTTTTTGCATACACGTGAGTTTAAATCATGTCCATTGTTTCAAAAATTCATGAGTTTGTTGATCACCATTTGCATGTTATGAAAAACTATGAGAAGAGTCAAAAAATCTTGCATGAAAGAGTTTTGGTTCAAATCTTTCAAGAATTGGTGAGTTTTTGAACAAAAGATGTTTTAAGGGTCTTGTATTGGAGTTTTCTAAAGCTATTTTATGTATTTGATCAAATCATGCAAGACCCCAAGTTTTGAAAGTAGTTTGGAAGCCATTTTTGTTAAGCTTGGTGTTCAGAAATTCACAGCTGGCTCGAGTGACGAAGTGGTGGCTTAAGCCAACATTACGAGCTCCCAATACTTTGAACTCTGCAAAAGCTGGCTCGAGCGAAGGAGTGGTGTCTCGAGCGAGCTCAGTTTTTGCCTTCAGCTAGTTCTAGCCACGAAAAGCTGGCTTTAGCCACCAATTTATTTTCAGCATATTTTCGCTCCATCTCTTTTCGGGCATTCTTAGGCATGATTTATGAGCCATTAAGGATTAATAAGCTAAGAAACATCAACGTAAGTGAATTAGAAAATATGTGTCGAATCCAAGTATATGGGCAATACAAACAAGTTATGTGGCATGGAATGAATAAGAAGTTAAAGCAAGAAAGCTAAGGCATGTATGGTCATATGAATGAGTGATAATGAGAAATGTTTTCTGCCATTTACATTTGTGTTTGTAGGTCGACGTTCGGAGACTAACCAACCGTTTCTAAAAGCCCACTGTGAGTAACGTTATTGTAAAGATATGTTCATATGAATTATGTTCCAAATGTGATTTGATAAGTTATGATTTCTGAAATGATATTTATTTACGTGAATGAATGTCCTATGTTTGAAATCTATTATGGCATCCATAGATAGTCCCAAGTCATGAGGGCTGACATGTTAATGCGAGTCCATGACATATATGTGATTACGAGATCTCGTTAGCCACTTCATTGTGGTGATATGTATTTAATCGGTATCCGAAACCGATTACTCTAGTCGGATGACGATGTGCTATGTTCTATTGGATGTACCATTATTATGTTCAGATATGATAATGATTATGTTATGATCTGTTTTATGATTATGAAATGTTCGGAATTCGTTCACTAACTTCTTTACCTTAATGTTATTCACTGGGCTTTAGTTCACTTTGTGTATATATATGTATAGGTGAACGTTTGGGAGATCAGGCCTGAAGACTTTTGTCTGGACTTCTGTTTTGTAAAGCCAACCATTGCGCCTCCCGTGAAGGTTTCAAATATGTCATGTGTTCAAGGCCTTGTGATTGACTTAACTTTTGTTTTCTCTGTCAAGGTTTAAGACAAGTTTTTGTATATGGGGTTTAATCCCTTCTTGCTTGACTATAATGTGTGTGGGTATAATGTAAAAATGACTTTTAGACATTGTATATAAAGTTTTAAATATTCTGTTTTATACAAGTCAGCACAGCTCATTAGACAATTATATTTATGTATTTGTTTCCGCTAGCCCTTAATTTTGTTTAATCTATTCAGAGGCCTTCGGTAATCTTAGTATTACTGGTCGGTTACGATGTTAAACCTATAGGGACAAGTTTGGGTCGTAACAAGGGTCAAAAAATGTATGGTTTTAAAATTAATAGAGGCAAAGTTATATTCAGTAATAGTTGAGAAGTAAAACATAATTAGCCCTATTTTTTTTTCCCCTTAAAAAGAGGACTATTTACTAAAATGCAACACCATCCTCCTCTATTGCTAGTGTGGCTTCCACTAGGCACCACCTTAGAAAAAGTTGACCACAGAAATAGTTGGAAACAAGCTCATCCACCATGAAATTGACACCCCTCCTCCTCCATCTCTGCTTTCTTGATCTAGTCCTGCTTTTTCTACTTTGTCTCAGTGGTTGTGTTAGCATAACTACCACGAGTGATGTGCGTCTACAATGCAATGGCTCCATAGCAGAATGTCACGCAGACATGGAGATGTTGATGGAGTCGGAGGTCAGTTGAAGGTTTTGGAGAGAATGAATCACATAACATATGGGGCTTTAAAGCAACATCAACCAGCATGCAATAGTGGGAAAAGTGGTAAAGCATACAGCAAGTCATGTCTCCCTAAAGAGTCTAACCCTGAGAGTAGAGGATGCTCCGAGTACTACAGGTGCAGGCAAGGAATTAGATCTCCAGTCACTTTGTTTACATGATGTGTTATACTATATAACAAACAAGAGGGAAAAAGAAAGCTTATGCATCAAATCAAGTCCATATGGTTTAATTTGTAGCTATGTTCCATGTTTGGTACTTATTTGCTTATGACAAATGCTTAAGAATCCTATATCATTCCTAAAATTATTATTCCTAATGACCTGTACTGTGTTGCATATCAGTTGTGATACACAAAACAGACGACAATGCACTACAACCAGTGTTTTCCAGCTATTCGCTAGAAGGATGACGAAAGGGAGACATTTATTGAAAATTTTGGATAAAAATTAACAACAATAGGGAGATTAAATTTTTTTTTTGTTTTTATTCACTTCTCTCTGTATATTTTATGCATCTTCATAACATGTACTAGCATAACATCCATATTATGCAAGGTTTTAAATAAATAATTTAAAATTAAACAATATTAAATAAAATAGAATAAAATGAATTGAATGTATAGGATACACTACTAAAAAAACTACTTTTTGCGACCGCTACAAGTCGTCGCAAAAAATAAAAAGACAATCGCAAAAGACTTTTTTTGCGACAACCCATGCGACGGCAAATGGGAGTCACATAATAAATAAAATAAAATAAAATGAATTGAATGTATAGGATACACTACTAAAAAAACTACTTTTTGCGACCGCTACAAGTCGTCGCAAAAAATAAAAAGACAATCGCAAAAGACTTTTTTTGCGACAACCCATGCGACGGCAAATGGGAGTCACGAATGTGGGGGTGGCAAATACTTTTTGCGACTACAAAACAACAGTCACAAACTATTTACAACCGCCTAATCTACTTATGGCGATTAATGTTTTGCCGTCACAAAAAAAAATAAAAAAATGCCTATAATGTATTAGTGACCATCTTGTTACTGTCACAAAAAAAAATTTTAAAAAGGCCTACAATGTTTTAGCAACCTATATTCTCATATATATATATATATATTCAAATATTATATACAATAAATGTAAAGTGATATTTGCAAAAATTCTAATACTCATGTATTATTTTCCATCACTTCCCTCAACAAAATTATCTTTCTTCAAAAAAAAAAAGTGTGCATACAAAATATAAACTTCTATACATTCAAAACAAATATCCATCAACCATCCTTAAAAGTATTTATACAAAATACTAATATATTCGAGTACTCAAAAAAAAAAAATCTCAATTTAGTTCTCAATATCACCCACTCAATCATATTAACTACTCCTCAACACTACCTGCAAAAATATACATCAATATATTAGTTGACTAACTTGTATGCCAAAACAAAAATGGATACAAAGAGCACATTAATTAATAAATAATCAGCTCCAAGAATATTGAAAAATTACTTGAACTCGATTATCTTCTAATTCAACTGGACAAATCAGTGATGCTAATTGTGTAAAGAACACCCTGCAACAAAAATTTTAAGAAGTTGAGTTTTTCTAAGAGTAAGTAACTGTGCTACAGCACTAGTTTAACTACAACTGAATTCATGACATAGAACTTATAAATTAAATGTACAATAGATAAATGATCATATAGACACATAAAATATTGTTAATTTATATTCAATCCCACTAGGGAGCATTCTTCCTTAATTGGGTTGCCAAAGGAGTCCTGTATCTAGACATATTAGGAATAAAATTTGCCACGCAATTTACAATACCAAGAAACTGTTGGACCTGCTTGTATGTAAGATGTTCATTAAGGAAAATTTGTGAGTCTAACCATCACATCATACCATATAGAAGCAAAACCTAGATGGTAACACAACGATACCTTTGACTACTTCGTGAACTCATTTATGACCCTTTTGTAACAATCCTCACAAGAAGAGATTAATTGATCAGTGATATGATACTAATTAACTACTAGCCAAGTAATTCTATAGGCTGAACACACTTTAGTGTTGTTCCTCAAAATGCGAGGACTTTTACCACAATCATGCTTCAAAATGAACTCCAAATTCTAGATGTATTGGTACACCTTAAACTCAACCTAGTAAACCCAAATGCACTGAGAATTATCAAATATAGATAACAATAAGAACTGAGAAATAGTATATTCCCAAGATTGTGTTTCAGAATATCTTAGTAGAATTTTCGGTACGATGGATCCATGAGTCTGAGATATTCATCAATAACAAGTATTACAAAAGATAATAACTTCCTGACATATCATTTTCATAATAATAATAATAATAATAATAATAAGCTCATAATCTGTGTAAACTTACACGTAAAGCCATCTTCTTAAGTTTGTTCATTGCGGAAAAGTGCTTCAGGCGTGATAGCACTATAGAATCAAGAGGTTTATCAGGGGCAACTCTGTCATCAACAATCCATTGGTGGCCTGAGAACAACAAAAAGAACAGAAAGAAAAAGATAAAAGAGTTACTTCATTATAATCACCTTATAGAGATGCAATGGCTAACCATGCTATTACACAATTAAACCATTTCCAACAAAATTCCAACATATCATCTTCCTTTGTAGTGGTGAAGGAAACTTACACAAAACTTCATGGGCGGATAGCCTTCTCTTTGGATTTTTGTCAAGCATTTTCCGTATCAGATCCTTGGCACTGTTTGAAATTCCACGCCATGGTTCAGATTCAAAATCTAATTTTCCTTGTAATATCAGCCGAAAGATGCCCAATTCAATTTCTGGAGTTAAAAGGAGGTACAAAATCAACATTAATATTATGCATTGAAACAGAATGAATTTTTAGAGTATATTACTTGTCCTCCATCATGCATATTAAGTCACAAAAAAAAAAAAATGAAAAAGATAGCTGCCAGCCCAAAAAGGTGGAACCCCACTCAATAAAATGTACAAAACAACTCCAGCACTCCATACATCTGCTTCAGGTCCATAATGCTTATGCAACACCTCTGGCATAACATAATATGGACTCCTAATCACATGAGAAAAAGTTTCACCTAGAAAAAGAGGAAGCAACCAGCAAGCCATGTCAAAATGAGGCCAAACCAACAAGTTTCACAAGGAAAAGCAAAAGTTGTCCCATTTAGTGAAGAAAAAATTGATAGGATGAATAACAAGATAACTGGAGATCATGCACAATAAAAAATAAGAACAAACCAATGATTTGATTTGTCTTTGATAAATCATGAGATCTCAATTAACCTTTTTCAAAGAAAACAAAAATACTGCCCATTCCCAATAGTTTCTTCAAGTAAAATTGCCACTCACTCATCACCCTCTTATATCTTTTTAACATGCATTAAAAATAAATAAATTAAAAAGTTACATTCTATGATAATCAAAACATAATATAAATACTTATGATAAATCACTAAAAGAAAATCAAGTTTTAGCAGCGTTGTTTATTGCAACGGCTTTAAAAATGCTACTATAGATGGGCTATTGTAGCGGTTATTGACCACAACTAAAAATTAAATTTTTAGTAGCATTTTTTTCCTAAAACACTACCATATATTTTTTTATAGTGACAGTTTGTACTCAACCGTTACTAAAAGCCCAACAAAATAAAGACTGCCAAATTCAACTCTAATTTTGCGGGGAATCCCATTTGTGTGTGTCTGTGTGTGTGTGTGTGGGTGAATAACATATTAGAAATTCAATCCAAAAAAAAAAAACCATTCAACTCACAATTTGTGCCCTAGCCCATAACTCTTCTTTGGCGAAGTATCAGAGTTCTTCTCCCCCGCGGCATATTGATGACATCAAGCTATAGCATCACTGTGATTTCAAGGTCAGTTTGCTCTCTGTGTTTCTCTTTCTCTATCCATCTCTTTCTTCTTGTCTCTTGGTTTATCTCTCTACCCTTCTCTCTTTCTTCTACTGTGAGGCCCCTGAAAATTTTAATTTCTTAAAAGTCCCTTACTTTTAAATTATTTCCTTGAAGTCCCTCAGTTTCTTAACTAATTGCAACCCTAGGATCAAAATACATGCGCCAACAAAAAACCGCAAACCCTAATTGATTTCGGAAACTTAGAAATGATTTCTAGTACTCTAATTGACTCCCTAAATATGAAATTACCACTTGGAAACCCTAGGCTTTTCCGGTCTTTATCACGTTCGTCGGTTGATCGTATTTTTGTTCAAAATAAGAAATCCAAACCAAATTAGACTCTCTAACCCCAATTTAATTTAATTCTACACTAAAATAATGTTCCAATTCATAAATTAAATCCAATGCCCTCATATTTTTCTTAAATCACATTTTGACCTCATACTAGTACCATTACACACATATATACACACACACATATATATATATATACTTGTACATTTCTTAAATGAATAATTTTATACACAAATATCTTCATATCTATATATAAAATCAATAAAAATCTCCCCAAATCTAGCATATGGCCAGCCATCACCCTCTCTAGGCTACAATCATAGGTACTTTAGAGACAAATCCCTTAAATCATGGAAAAAGTATCATTGGTACCCCCAAATCAAGGAAAGTTGTCTTGTACTTGTAACTATCTTGGTTCTACTTAAGCCTAACCCTAACTATATCATGCCTTAATACATGATTAGGCTCCCTAATGATCCTTCATTCCATTGCATTCCAACTAAATACATCTCAATTCCATTTCATTCCAACCAATGGCCATTTTGGACCTTTTACACCAATTTTATTATAAAAACACCACCACCCTCTACACGTTACACATACACTCACACACCTATACATTCAGTTGAGAGAAAGAAAGAAGAGGAAGAGAGTGACTTTGGTAGTAAAGGAGAGGAAAATAGGAGACAATTGTGCAAACACGTCACTAGGCAATCAAGTAAGCCACAACACAACTCTCTCTTTTATTTTCCTTTTTCTAATACATGCTCTTAGAATTTTTAAACATTCATTTCAGATGTGTTTTGATGGTATTCTTGTGTTAAAAATGAAAGGAGTTGAGCCTTGATTCTACTCTTCTTATATTTCTCTTAATTGGTATAAGACTACCTTTTTCCATATCAAACTCTCAAAATTTCCAAAGGCACACCTTTACCTTAAATTTCTGAGTTTAATACATATTATTTAGCAAGTTTTCATCACAAGATAAGTAGAAAATTTCCCCTAGTTGACCTCTTTTCTCACAAAATTTCTATTTTCAAAAATTGTGCCAGAAAAATCTATTTTTCATCCAAATTTTGAAATTTCTAGAAAAATGTATAAAAATCTCGTGGACTTCCATTTTATGTCAAAATATTCCTCAAGGAGTTAGCTTTCAGGTAAAATTGGTTTCATTGAAAACGAGTGAGCGGTTTGTGAGAAAATCTGATTTTCGTAACGATCGATGAATTTGGACAGTGCTGGAGCATTTCTTAAATAACTAAAAATATAGAAAATCTATCACATTTCTAGTACATGTTCTGAAAACTAGATTAAATTCTCTACGAACCATAGGAAGGCTAGGTTCGGGAAATATCTGAAATAGCCCTTTTGATTTTAATCTTTAAATGGTATTGAATCTGGAAATTTAGTTTTGCATGGGTGTTTTATGCTCTTGTGTACATGAATATGCTTATTAGTTTATGATCATGTCTTGGTATGATATTGCATGTGTTATGGTTATGTTCCTTATCTTCTTCATTTTAATGATGCTCATGCTTATGTGGATATTACTATCTTGTTGAGTTTGTTCTAACTTGACTTAAAACATTGATCCAAACGGAAAACTTAATTGGGATGGTATTGGGTTTTCGATCACTTGAATAATGAAGAGATGATAATGTGTTATGTATGGATTGATGGGATGTGCTCCCTAATGGAAGGTTAAGTCTTGCGCAAGCGGTTGTCGCATAAACCCTAGAATGGAACGGACGTATTCAGACTCTTTGTGATGGTTTGATTAGTGAGATAAGGTTGGGTCCAGATGGGACATTCAGGAGGATAAAACTTTTTTGAAAGGATAAGGTTGGATTCAGGAGATAAAACTTTTTTCTTTTCGCTATTCTTTTTGAGGCCCTGCGGTTGGCACTACGCGGTATATAACCGTTGGTAGGCATCCGAGGTTAGTTCTGCAACAAAGCAGCAAAAAGGGGAGTTTCGAATAGTCCGATATCCAATTCTTGTGGTTGAGAGAATGAAATCTCTTTGGGGGATTTCTAGAATACTAACCACTAACATTATAACCTTTGTTATCTATTTGAATAACATGTTCCTTTCCTCTATTATTGAAATTGCTATTATTGACTTGAATATCATGCTTCACTACTTGCTTGCTATAAATGTGGCGGTGTATTGGATTGGAAAAAAAGGGACAAAGTGTGTGTGCGTTTACTAGGCATTCAAAGCTCATGGCGTTTCATGCCAGGTATTGAAGACTATTAGACCGGTCAAAGGCAAAGCTGAAGCATTTGAGGACATACGGCTACCTTAAGAGGATTAGAAACAAGTTTGTAAATGTGTTTTGAGATTGTAAGTAATAGATCCCATGTTGTATTTAAGACATGATTTGTAATTTGTATATATATATAACATTTGTAACCTATCCACATACCCTGTCAACTCATGTAGGCCTTGTGTTAATACCTTATCAAGATCTGTCAAAAAGGTAACTTTGCTGTCTAAGGTGGTTGGACTTTGAAGGGAGGCTATTTTGACTCCTCTGACCTTCCTAGGATCTTGCTTGGTTATTATCCAAAATACTCATTAGTGACGTTTCCTACTCTTGTAACCTTAGATAAACCCTGTATTTAATGGTTAATACATTATCTGATGCTCCCGACTTTTGAAGCGTCACATCTACTGTCTTTGTTTCTCTTTTTCCCTTACTGTCTTTGGTCAAGTTCGGGTCATTGAAATTCATTCTTAAGCTGAGACTTGTCATTCTATTCATTGCTTCTAATATCTCCAAAACTTCTGCTTTGAAGGATTTCATGAACATCTTGAATGATTTTGATTTGGGAAATAATTTAGAAAATAGATTCATTAACATGTTCGGTATTCTGATTTTTGATCATCTATGATATTCATATTTTAACCAATATAATTAGTGAAGTGAACGGATTGTTGTTGATGCTACACAATAAAATCTCATGCCTGAGGATTCATCATGTATGGTTGGTGTTTGATAAAATGCCACAATGGAGTAATAGTGCCTACATTTTTGTTTATTGATTTGTTTTGTTTTTGTGTCTTTTTTTTTTTTTTTTTTTTTGAGAAAATTGTTGTCTATGAATTTAATGCACAGTTTGTAATGTTTTGTTGCCTTGATTATCAATTTTGATATAATTCTGTTTGTATTTGTAATTTATAAATAATCTCCTATCTCTTGATAAAAAAAAGATCAATGAGTAACCAATCACTTTTCCATATACTAGTTATTGTCTGAAATGCTTAGGGTTATAATTGCCCAGGTTGTATAATATATTGTTTAATATTAGTTTCAAAATATAACAAGTACAAAAATGTACTTAATATTAGTTTAATATTGTTTAATATTGTTTAATATTAGTTTCGTTTATTTTTCAAATCAATCTCAAACAAGTTTTAATCACCCCAAGTTCGAATGGTTTAAATTTTTGAATAATTTTCTAACACAAACTTATCGAATCAAGCCTAAAAAATTAACAAATTTCTAAATATATTGCTTAAATAACGATGAATATCAATTGAATTTTCAACAAACTAAATAGCCATTATTTTACAGCCCTAGAAATGAACTACTAAAATTGAGCAACAGAACACTGATAATGAATCATGAAAATATAAAATGTGAAAAGAAACACTAGATACCTTAACCTAGTAAAAGGTTTCTAGAAATAAAGAAAAC